GCAGCACTAATACTATATGTGCTGATTTAAAAAGAAATAGCAATTGGAAACAGATTTGTTTTGAGTGAAAAAAAAATCTTGAAAAATCCCCTAATAATAAAATTTTTACTCATAAACTTAAAATTTCATTCTTTTAGCGGAATGAAAGTACACACTGCAGGCCAAAGAATGACACACATTTCCATGCAGAACTGTGCATGGCTGGATGTAAATAGTTAATTCCAGTTTTCACTTCTTAGAGCATTCTTCCTTTTGCACTCAGTAATAAAAAGTAATCTTATCACTGGAACTATTCTGACAGATACTTCATATATTCATTCAGATATCCTGTCAGAGTGATAAAAGTGTGAAAAGCTTTAAAATTTACAGTCCTTCTTTTTCAAATGGGAGAAGAGAAATATTTGATTATGGAAATAGCAATTTCTATTTATGTAGGAACATGACATGAGAAAGATGCACTGAAGTCGATGAAGGAATTGTATAATGTCGGTGTGTGGACTTCTGTAAATCTGCTTCTCCTAAAAGCAATAAAAACATTGGAAAAAATTTATCAAAATCAACTTTTCATAACTCTAGAAATTAATAAAACACCTGAAACAATCTAAGGAGCTTGCTTTTAAGAAAAATTGCTGAACTTCAGTAAGAACAACATAATTTGTGGCACTGTAAGTTGACTTACATCCATACCCCTCCCTTCAGCTCTATGGTAGATTTGAATACCAACAGACTCACAACAGCCACTGAAGCAGACAAAGCTGACTTGGAGCTACTCAAAAAGTCTCATCCAAAAAAACAAAGAAAGGATCATTCCCCACAACAATATCACTATTTGACCCATTTTCACAGCTCTTTGGAAATGCCCCTTTCAGAGATCATTGTTGTTATTTGACCTAATTCAGAAATCACTATATGAGAAAACCTCTATCCCTAGATAATTTATTAAGAAAAATAATGGTAATTGTTTAATATAGCAGCTTTATGTAACATGAGCCTTGGGGAAAATAAGAGCCTGGCCATAAAATTAAAAGAAATATATATAGAATGAAATGTCCATGTTGTTGTTGTTGTTGTTGTGTGCCGTCGAGTCAAACCCGACTCATAGCGACCCCTCCTTGGGTTTCCGAGGCAGTATCACTACAGAAGTAGGATTGCCCAAGGACTGACACCTTAGTAGGGAATCTAGAAGGCTGAATGTATGTGCAGATCTGGGTGCATACTCAGGAATGACCTCAGGGGTCGACTGACATTGAAGTCCTCAGCAAGCAGGAAGTAAAGACAAAGGCAGAATTGTAAATTGTCTGAATGTTGAAAGTGTACAGAGGGTAGACAATTGCAAGACATTTAAGGAAATTTCTGACCACTAACTAAAAGAACAGAGGTTTCAATAGCCACACACTGCAGGGAATATAGATTTTATAGATATAGCTCAGAAAAGCCATTGAACATAGAAACAGCCCAGCCACAATGAAAGCAGTAAGAGCAAAAATCTGTAGGAGGGGTGAATCTCATTTCCATACTTGTCTCATTATATTATCTAAAATTCCTAGTTCTCAAACAGTTGTTATGATATACAAAGAAAGTAGAAATTACAGTCCATACATAGGAGGAACAATCAATGAAAACTATCAATCATGAATTTCAGATGTGCCTTAGGCACTACGCCTCCAGAGCTCCTGATGTTTGAGTTAGTCAACAAAAATTTAAAATCAGCTATTGTAAGTATGTTCAGAGAATGAAAAGAAACCATGCTAGGAAATTAAAGGAAAGTATTGTACTGATGTCTCATTAAGTGTAGAATATCTCCAAGAGATTAAAATGATATATAAAAAAAAGTAATCTATATAAATCCTGGAGTTGAAAATACAATAACTAAAATAAAAAATTCACTACAGGGGCTCAACAGTATATTTGAGCTGGCAGAAGAAAGAATCAGTGAGCTTGAAAATAGGTCAGTTGAGATTACACAGCTCAAGGGAAGGAAACAACAAATGAAGAAAATTAACAAAGTTTCAGAGATCTGTAGACCTTTGTGACACCACAACATGTACCAATATATGTATAATGACTGTGCCAGAAGGAAAGGAGAGCGAAAGTTGCAGAAGGAATATTTGAAGAAATCATGGATAATATTACCCCAAATTTGATGAAAATCATTAATATACACATCCAAGAAACCCAATGAACTCTCATTAAGATGAACTCAAAGATATCCGATTTGAGGAAGACTCATTAACAATCTGTGCTATGCAGATAACACAACTTTGCTTGCTGAAAGTAAAGAAGACTTGAAGCACTTACTGTTGAAGATCAAAGCCTATAGACTTCATTATGGATTACTTCTCAACATAAAGAAAACAAAAATCCTCACAAGTGGACCAATTAGCAATATCATGATAAATGGAGAAAACACTGAAGTTGTCAAGGATTTCATTTTATTTAAATCCACAATCAATGCCTATGGAAATAGTAGTCAAGGAATCAAACAATGTATTGCATTTGGCAAATCTACTGCAAAAGATCTCTAAAGTGTTGAAGAGCAAAAATGTTACTTTGAAGACTAAGGTGC